TTCATAAACCTTTATTATTCAAACGGACGAGGGTATGTGCAGTCTTATAAGGAGTTTTTATAACAAGTATACAAGTATGTATGTAACAAAATACATTGTGTTAATAAATGGAGATGTGGGATATATGATAAGACAGCAAATCAAAGACATCTAGATAACCCATAACTAATGCAGGATGGACCAGTATTTTTTTACTGCTAATTTGTAGTTTTAATAAAGATTCTTAGGTCCCTTGAATTGAAAAGTTAATAAGTATATTTAGCATAGCAAGTATTAAATCTTTCAAATTTTAATGTTTACAACAATAATCAGATTTTAATTATAACAGTAACATATTTCAGTCTCCTAGTAAATATTTGTTAAACGTCTTGTATTTCAGGAGAAAACTCAAAACTTTATGAAATAAGGAGCTATGGTATGATTACCAATGAGACAACTTTCCATTAAAAACCAAATGACGTAGATGAGATCTCCCAATTACCATTACACTATGAACTGCTTATTCAAAAGATATTTTGTCACCAAATACTATATAAAATAGAACATCATCATATACGCTAATATCTATTTTGCTCCCTCGACAAAATGCTTGGAGCGTCTGTGCCGCACTTAGTATATAGGGTATATAAGCGGGAGGTTTGGCTAGCCATAAAACAAGGTTCAACCCGCCATTTTTTCTTAATATGTCCTGTACCAAGTCAGGAATATGGCAGTTGTTATCAAATAGTCCGTTTCTATGTATGTTGGCGTTTGTTTTTATTGCAGTTCAATGTTTCTGTTGTTCCGTTGTTTTCCTCTTATAGTTGATGTGTTTCCCTCGGTTTTAGTTTGTAACCCAGATTTGTTTTCTCTTAATCGATTTATGACTTTTGAACAGCAGTATACTATGTTGCCTTTATTTATATTTCTTAGGACTACAGTTATTAAGCTTCAACTTTTGAATTATGTACCTGGTGTTAGTACATATACTAAAGGTGCAATAATTGTCAGGATATTGGTTTGTTTAAAAAAAAATGACTGGTTGCTGAATTTGGCATTTTGATAATATATAAAGGCACGCAAAGTCCGGCTTACCCCTCCTCCTACATGTTCAATCTTGAATTTTTATAATGCGCCGAGTGTAATACTTATACATTCCCAAGTTTTTTTATGCCCCACCTACGATAGTAGAGGGGCATTATGTTTTTCGGTCTGTGCGTCCGTTCGTTCGTCCGTCTATCCCGCTTCAGGTTAAAGTTTTGGTCAAGGTAGTTTTTGATGAAGTTGAAGTCCAATCAACTTGAAACTTAGTACACATGTTTCCTATGATATGATCTTTCTAATTTTAGTGCCAAATTAAAGTTTTGACCCCAATTTCACGGTCCACTGAACATACAAAATGAAAGTGCGAGTGGGGCATCCGCGTGTACTATGGACACATTCTTGTTTTCGTATAATTTTCCAAGAATGACAGAATGTGGAACTTTATCTTTTTAAGTGATATTGTGCATACAGTTTGCAAGGTTTGTCTGATTAACTTCGCACACAACTCACACGTTTACATCATACAGAGTATACTAGAATGTGTATTTTATCAGAATATTGATTTTCTTTATAATTTTCACATCTAACAGAATGTTTAACCTTTATTGACGGGTGCATCAAATGTGTCTTTTAGAAACAACTATTTCAAATTGTATTGTATCGTCCTGAAAATGCATAAAATATTTGCCTCTGGACGTTAAGCAACCATCAATCAATCAATTCAAATTGTACTTCAACATCACTATTTACTTAATCATATTTTTGAAGCACTTGATGCAGCGGTGGCAACACCATTGTCTAGTTTCGAAAGGTTAAGTTGAAGATTCGGTTTTGAAAAGATAAATTAAAACATAAAACACCATTCAGATCCAGTTACATACTTTTGTGAATACCTCTAAGTAAAAATACGTTATTCAGTATTCACACGTTTTCTGTCAAATTCTAAGCGTATCTGTCAACCTTGAAGCAATTTATCTAAAAAACAAGGATGGTGACATATGTGTTTCTATACATGCTTGGATTCAGTATACAATCCTGGATATTACGTTAGTTTTTAGACTTTCTCCGTCTAAAAGAACATAGCTATCCAATGGAAAATCAAAAAAAAATTGGTATAAAAAGGACATTTCCCTATATATCTATGTAAATTCGTCGCCAAAATTGACGTTTTCTTATGAAAGTTAGAAAAAATCAAAATTGGTGACCCCCAATTTTTATTTCACATTCCGATGTAACTCGAATCACAGTACAAGTTTGCCAAAAATTTAAGAAATCGGGAGATATGCCATTTGGTATCGTAAAGCATTGTATTTAAGTACTATAATTTGTCGATATTGCATGCATGTTCTGGACGGGAACAAAGTAACAATACATACAATAGGTATGGGTCCTATAATAGGGGTCTAACCAGACGTGGTTGAGAATTTATACTTCCCGAACAGCCAAACGGACACTCCACATTGTTTTACCTGAGGGGATTCCATGAAACCTAAACGGAGTGAGAAAGTGTTCGTCGATAGGGTAACCGGGACAATGATAACAGAGAGGGAAGGAATACGGCAGTTTGCATTAAATTAGTTCCTACTTATTTATCATAATGCCCTGACTTTTGTATAACTGTATAATAAAAAAAAAGAGGAAGTGCACCCCTGTTTTTTGAATTTATTGATTTATAAAAAAATGAGGACTGTAGCATGTGTTTTGATATGCTAGAGAAACGCACCAATTAAGTAAGCGGGCTCCTTGTATCGCCATCTCCAGAATCGCCTGTTCTTCTGAGACGTTAAATATCGTTATCCCCCTTATCCATCAATTCACTTCCTGTTTGTAGGGATATTGGTAATCTACATGTAATAACGCGTATTCCAGTGTATTGGTACAGCTATCTGATGCTCTTTTTCCTCGAAGATAAAACTTTTCAAATTGCTGCTCATCGTACCCTCTACCGCCTTCAGATTGACTGAAGATTCAATAAATGTTATGACATTGGGAGAATAAATCTGACAATACTAAAAAAGTCAGATAGTTTATCCTTTGAATGTAGTGAATGGAAGATGTTAACTAAGTAAATAATCACACAAACATATAACAATTAATACGGGTTTGAATAAGGTAATACAAGTATTTAGTACAAACCACATCACAAGATTATGTTTAGATAAATCACGTGACTTGTTAAGAACATATTTGTGGACTGTACCCACATCTCTTAATTTACATGTAAACCTCAACCTGTACCGAGATCTACCGAGTAACAAGGAAATACTGTAATTAGTTGTTTTGTAAAACCGCAATTAATTGCAGATCACCAGGAAAATAAGAAAAAAATGAAACTTTAAGATAAATAAATAGACATAAAAAATGGCATTTTTATTTTGATACGTGGCATTTTTGTTTTTGCTACGAAGTGTATCAAGAATATCAAGCGAGCCCGCTAGTGTCAGCTGATATTCGAGCTGATGAAGTCAATATCAAAATAAAATGCCATCATTCTTTTTATCGACAATTTGTATTAACAATAATGTTTTTTTTTCGAATATGAAATAAAAGTGTTAAAATATAGTAGAACGTGATCGCGGCCAAAATATCAAGTTCGCTCGTTTTTAGAAGTATAGATGTAAAACAAAAACGTACCTTAATGTTTGAGTGATTTTTTTTTAAATTGAGAGTTTGGAATTGATAACAGATCTTTGTTTGTTTTAATTTATTCACAGCTTTTATACACGAGGACTATTTAGAGCATTTTGACACAATTTTTATTTGAATATAGATCTAAGCCCTATTGTTAGTGCAGTTTATTAAATGCGCGAATTTCTTGACAGTCTGGTGGTTATGTGTAAATGGCATTAATCATTCATCGGGTTTTTGTCCAAAGGGGGATAAATCAAACCAAATTATCGAATAATGTATGAAGCCAGCAACTATTTCTATTGACTGAATTTACTACTATTAAAATCGCTACAAACAGGCATGAATCCATAGATATTATGTTCTTTTGTTTATTTCTTGAAAAATTGGAATTCCGTTACTTATATACAAATGGGAAATTGGCACACTACCTTTATTTCCAAGGCTCTTGAACCAATTCAGGAATTTGAAGGAAAATTTCCAATTGTTACAAGTATAATCATCGGGAGAAATTTTAACCGAAATTGACCAGTATACCTTTACATTTATTTATTTAAAATAGACCTTCAACTTTGCTTCTGCATTCCTGCAAGTAACCAAGATCTATTACAATTTCGTACTAATGATAAGCAGATATTCATGATGCATACATCAAAAATCCTAGTTACGTTACTTGTTTCAACCAAAGCCATAATCTGTATACAGGAGAATCTTCGTGCAAATTATTGTCTAAAGCTCTGTGTACATAGTATTATTTTATTTTTTATTTTTACGTTTTGTAAAGAATATCTCTTAAACCTATTGATTTTGTGACAGCAAATGCATGAACACTTGTCGCGAAAATGAACTTTTCACTGATTTTAAGGATGATGTAAGGCGTTTTGTGCTTTACTTATTTAGGATGCATTCTCACTATCATGTACATCTAGTGCTATCTTTTTTGTCTCACCTTGACGGTGTCAAAAATCGAGACACAGGTTACTGTTTCCGGCGTCGGCCGTGGCAGCGGCGTCAACAATGTATTAGTTTGTGATTAGGTCAGTTTGGTAGGGAACCACTAGTGGTAGGTCAATGATATTTGGTATGCAGTTGTATTAGCATAGGCACATCACATTTCCATGAAGATCATTTGGTCCCGCCCCCTCAGTCATGATCTACTGACTTTGAAACTTTTGCTTAGTTTACATGTATTAGTTTGTGATTAGGTCAGTTTATGTGGAACCACTAGTGGTAGGTCAAAGCTATTTGGTATGCAGTTGTATTTGGGACATCTCATTTTCATGAGATTGTTTGGTCCTGTACCTTCAGTTATGGTTCATTGACTGTGCATATTTTGCATAACTTACATGTTAAAGTATTGCTATTTTAATTTCAACATTTGCATTTTACTATCGAAATAACAAAAAGGCGAGGCATATCTCTGTGTTAACAGTTTTTTTTTTTTTTTTTATGTATAATGACTTTAATTGATATCTTATATACTCCTATTTACAACCAAATAATCCAGCTGGTTTACATCCTAGCATGGAAGTATTATATAATACTTCCATGATCCTAGGCAACCAAATTGCTTTACGGTATCGAAATATTTTCTAATCTCATCTTCTACCAGCTTTTAAAAAGAAGATGTCGTGTTTTAATCAGTCCCATTGTTTGGTTCAAGTTGTTTCTATCCTAATAGAACGAAATGTATCAATCGTTAAAGTCCTAATTAATTAATTATAATGGAATTGACTTGTAAGAGTCGAGTGAAATTTCACCATTTTTGGTTTTATAAGTTTTTCCAGCTATTATATCACTAAGAATCTTTTCTTCTTTTTTCAGTTGAACCACTGGTTGTATTATTTGGTTGTTTTGATTTAAGTTTTTTTCTTTCTTTGTATGAATAATTGATTTCGGTAAATCATTTTGAAAACAATATCGACTAGCAGAGTCATCAGAAGAAGTTTGAATACGCTCTTCAACTTCTTTTCTTTTCGGCAATGCTAATGTTAACCTAGTCCAGAACTTTTTTTCTTTCGACGGGTTATCTTCCCCTGGCCATTCTAAATAGGTAACTGATTTTAGAATATGTTGTAAATTTAAATCCATACTGTTTTTGAAGGACGAGATGTCTTCCAGTATTATAGGGATGATAGTTTGTCTACCATGAATCATCTCATATTGAGCTTTTTGATATTCAAACTTTGTCCATTCGCTCTGTATAAATCTGGGCGTTAACAATAAGATAACTCGTCTGCTCTTAGTAACAGACTGTAGAATATTATTGGCTATTGCTACAACAAAAGTATAATGTATTAGCAAAAGTTCTCAAAAATGAATAAAATCTAATAAAATTAAGGCATGACAATAAATTCTTCATTTCGGGACTCTGTGTACTTTTAGGTTCGCTTAAGTTTCAGAATCAGAATAAAAAGGTCACTGCTCGAATGACTACCTCGTGATGTCAAAAAAGAATTTTTCGAAGTGATTCAATAAATAAATGAAAGAGTATTATTTTCGTTTCTAGTTTTGTCAAAAATTAGGCCGTTGACTTTTTTCGTTTAAATTTTCACATTTTGTCGGTCTTTTTATTACTGACTACACGGCATGGGTTTATGGCCTATAATTACTTATATCCACGTCATTTGGTCTTTTGTGGACAGTTGTCTCATTGGCAATCATATCTCATCTCCTTATTTTTATATAAGGACAGATTTTAGCTACTGAGTTGATCTTCAGTTTTTAGTCTTCGGTTGATTATTATTTGTCACGTGTGATATATAATATTTCTAAATGGTAACTTCTTTGCATTAAACATTAAATTCTGAATACTAGTAGTATCAAATGTTGGCCGTTCTTTCTGGATATTTAGGGGGTGGGAAGGCCGGTTAATAAGGGGTTAAAAGTAAGTTAATTGTTAATAATTTGTGATCACGTATTTAAAAGAACGTTGAATCCTTATATGACACTTAATTGTAGAATTTCAGGAACATAAATAAAAACGTCTTGAAATAGGATTTACTCACCATTCCCAGGAATAAAGTCTCTAAAGTGAAGACACAGTTTAAAACCCAGTTCTAGTTCTAATTTGGGAAATAAATATTTCAGTACAAATTGTTCATCATTTCCGCCGCTTTTATAAGAAATAAATGCATCCCATTCCCTTTCATCTGTAAAAAAAAATATCTAAATTATTCAAAAGATTTCTTTTGTAGAGCGTTTTGTTCATATGAACTATCAAATGAGCAGGCCTGTTTTTTTTCTTTTTCTCTTTGTGTATCTTTACAAAAACAAACTGTCAAATAACACATCGCCGGGGTATCCCGATCCAAAATCCGCGGCGGTATCCGAATCCCGATCCAAAATCCGCGAGGAGAAATTGGATCCCTATGTGGATTTCGGATCAGGATACCCCGTGTGAATAATTATTTACATTCATGATACAGAAATATTATAAAGCACTACGTAATTGAAGAAAAGTGATGACCTACATTTATTGTTCATAACCGGAAGGAGCAATAAACATAACAATTAATAGAACAAGTAGACAATGACTGTCACAGTTTTTATACTAAGGAAAAGCTTTCATTAATATAATAAGATGTGTTTTATACTGCTAAGTCACCCAATTGTTTGAATGTCATTCACTATTAGAATGATGCAGGTTTCATGGCACAAAGCTATCCGCTTGTTTGAATGTCATTCATTATTAGAACGACGAAGTTTTGCATGACACAAATCTACCCACTTATTTGAATGTATTTCTTTATTAGAATGATACAGGTTTCATTGCACAAAGCTATCAACCTTTTAAAGATATAGATATCAAGATCCAGGAAAGGACAGTGTTCATTGTTAGTATTAGCTTTATTTAAAGTCAGTTCAGCAGGATAACATACTGAAGTTGATAGTTGCATACTACGCCAGATTAAAAAAAACCTGCCTGATAATCGATTGTCTAAAATCATCCTAAATGAAATTACAATTTTAAACTGTAATAAATGGAAATATATAGAAAATATCGAAATTATTCTACAGACTGGACCTTGAACAATATGCAAATGTCAACACACACGTTAGCACCTTTAATCAACGACTTAGCGGGTTATAGTTTAGATAAGATTGGAAAGAAATCACATACAAACTTTCTTTTTACTTGATAAACTTTAAAATTTATAATATTATTAACTTTGTGCGAAAGTTTTAAATTCAAAGTCTGAGTTTTTATGTTTTTTTCATGGATGACAGACATATTTCATATAATATATAGATATGAACTTGTTATTGCAATGTACTTTTACGACAAAACCTATGTACTATTCTAATATAGCGTTTATGTAATTATTAGACTTTTAAATATTTGTAACTATCTTGTTACATGTTTTACCGTACAATTATATAATGTTGTTTGTGCATACTTTGTTTTGATGACGCAGGTGTCAGTACCCCGCTGGTGCTTGACCCCGTTGTAAACGGATAGTATCACAATAAAATGTATACATAATGCTGAGCCATTAACTTGTAAAAACCTTTTGACAAAAAAAAAATAACAACAAAGATTTCCCAGTACTGACCACTGTACAATACGGACTGACTTCAAGAGAAATATGTTCAACCTATCTTTTAATAAACTCTGAGATTTTTCAGGGTCGGTTTTCTATTATCATAAGATTCAGTTGTCTTTGTGGTAAATATCCACTGGTCTCAGTTTTCTAGCTTTTACTTAAAACAATACAGATCTTACCATATTCTTCATAAGATTTGAAGTAATGTACAAGTTTTAAAACGGGAATGTATTTCTTCCACCACAGTAAATACACCATGAGAATTGATGACGCTGTTACTACCACCAGTGATACGATCAGGTACCAGTACCATATCTCCTCTTCTGGGTCTAAATAATGTAAAAAGTGCAAGGTTACTCATGTTAAAACAACATCTGTGTTTATTGTTTATATCCATACTGCTACGAAATAATTATACGCCGACTTTTATTTGTGTCAGTATGGAAACTTATATTTTATTTGTTTTCTTCTTTTTAAGCTTTTCGAAAAAAAATGTCTCGGATTTCATTTCTAAATATCTTTTATCATTACAGCTGGTACTTTGTGCAATTTGACTATTACAGGCTTCTGTTCGTCCGTGTATTTCAAAAGCAATGTATGACCCGTATCGTTCCCATCTTTCGTAAGTTGTCTAAACATTTCCATTATTGAAGGTCCGCACCATCAATAAACTTCTAGATAAGGTGATCTATACTCACCTAATATAGGATCTTTTCCTGGACGATTTTCATCATCACAGTATTCAGTTCCATTAATTATCTTACATCCAAAATCACCACATGATTTACAACACCGTTTTTCACATAAACCTCCATCTCCGCCAAGGTCACATTGACATCTGTGGTTTCCCCGCTCAGTAACAACACACTTTCCATACCTGCAGAATACTCCGATGCAGTATCTTTCTGAAGGTGGACGTAGAGTATAATTGTCTGAGCAAACATGTTCCTCTAGCATAACATCAGTTCTCGCATCATGTGTTTGAGTGGTGACTACTGGAGTGATAGATACCGTACTGACAGAAATTTTGCTGGTATCCGATTGCAAACATACAACGTTATTGTCATAACATTCGCAAAGTCCACTACATTCTGGAGGACAGATTAACTTTTCACATTTATCGCCCGACCAAATATTACTATCACATGTACATGGGTCAGTCATCCTATTACAATAACCGTGTTCACAAGTTATCAATCCATAGAGACACTTCCGCTCAGATATCGGTCGCTGTACTGTACATTCTGGTGCCACAGAAGCTGAAAGCGCTAAAAGTCCTGTTATCAGTGTATACAGCATCCCTGCTCTTCAAACAACCAAATATGATGGTATTTTTCAATGAAGACTATCCCGTTGTTTACGTCGTCTTATTCATCATTAATAGTTAGCGATAAATATGGCCGTTTTCATGGTTCATTGACAAAAATATTATTGAAGGTTTTTAAATTTGTTAAATCTATTTTTGGTAAAATATCGTGATTTCATTTTTGTGTTAACGTCAGAGAAGATTCTAAACCAATCAGATTGGTATAATATTTTAGATTTCGAGATAATTATACAGCTCAATTATAACATCTTTTGTGGCTACATCCGTCATTAATTAAAAAATAATCCAGGGTTTGTATAATAATGAAAAGGACGTTTTGTATTTTGTTTGCACCCGAAGCACTTTTCTGGATTTACCTTCATCCTACTCTTAACAAATGTGTATAACTGTTTAATGCATAATGTGTATAGGTGTATAGCTGTACCATATAAACTTTGGGTCTTGATAGGAAATTTTGTTTTCTTCTTTTTTGGTCAAAACAGCCACTACTAATATTTAAAACTGCTGTTGGAATTTTGCTACTATGAACTGCAAATTTTAAGCAAGACTTTAACTGATAAATTTCTTTATGCTTTTGAGGTCTAGTGGCAAATATTTCATGCCTTTTCGGGACAAACGTTTTTTTTTTGGTTATACTTATGACGTTATTCATGAGTATGGCAGAATATCTTTTTGGTTTGATTATCTCCAAGACAAAGATTTTTTTCTGGTGAAATACTGACACACTAACTATAGACATAAAGTTATTTTGTACAAATAAATTTAGTTGTATTATTCTTTTATGTTGTTATTTTAATGAAAGTTGTACTATGCAATTTATTATCAAAGAAAGTATAAAACCACTTAGTTGAATGTCATCCTCGATTTAGTAGACTGGTTTATTTGTACAAAATAACCATATGTTGCTACACATGAAAGTTATGTATATTAAATGAAATATAAAAATCACATTAAATTACTTCAAATCTGGAAATTCATGTCGATCTGTTAAAACTTAAATATAAAAGATCAACTACACGTAACAGTATTCTCGTATATATGTATCTTTAAAGAAAGTCGATTATCGGTGACTGGTTCATGATGAAATGCACTTATTGTTCAGATGCACAAAGTGTACACATAGTCCAGTCATTCTATGGTTATACCTCAAACTAATTGCAACAGAAATGTTTTTGCGGAATTCGTGAGAGATATAACGTATAAGAAACATATTAAAAATCGAGAAAAATCGAAAAAGGGGAAAGTCGTTAATTTTGGCGAAAAAAAATAGAAATTTTACTTCAAATAGTGTGGAAAGATATGGCGACAGTAGATTGAGAATGACGATATGGGAGACAACTCGTAATGGTCAACTGCAGACGACGCATCTAGTGTCCATTCTTTTCATTCTGGTAAGTAAATATAAAACTTATATATAAAAGGTTTTTATGTATTTAGCATTATTAAGAGTAAAAGCTGTCATGAAAGGTATTTTGGATGTTTTTGAAAAGCGTAAATACACGGGAGACGACAAAAATTAGTACAGGGCAGAAATGAGTTCATTTCGGTCTGCCGAGGTCTCTTAACCACAAATCACGTGTAAAACACCTCAGCTTTTTATATTGGGACTAAATTATATACACTACATATATTAAATCGCATCTTAAAAAAGGAATTTAAGTCTACTGCTAGGAGTCGCTGATGAAAAAAAAAGGGAGTATGAAACGCCGTTAGTGCCAAAAAGGTTACAATCCAACAAAATTGAATTCATGGAAAAATGAAGTTGTACTGATAATAAAAATTAAAAAAATCGATAAAGACAAATTGTTTTACCAAAATAAGATGAATATTTATTAATCAAATGATAGAGGGACATTAGAATTGTCCAGTTCAACAAAGCTACCATTATACAATTTAACTGAGCTACCATGCACCAAGCAGGGGAAAGGCAGTCTTTCAAACTTCATATTACATTTTGGGGCAATTTTTATTACTGTTGTTTTCTTTGCATATCGTTGTTCAACATCCAGCAGGTTTTTTACCCGAAAAGGAGGATGGGCGCCACTTAATACTTTTATTAACGTCATATGTGTCTGTATAAGCGTTCCGTGAAATGAAAAGTAATAAAACACACTGAACTACGGCGGAAAGTACAAACAGAACCAGAATATCGACAAATAGAAACTATTAACAAACTGAAAAAATAACTGTTGTAATCCTGAATTAAAATGAGTACAGACACTATATATGAATTAATTTATAGTTTTAAAAAAGTCAACAAAGATCTTTTTTTAATATTGTATCCAACACAAATCTTTTGATAAAAATGATATGAAAGCAAAACAAAATTAATTGAATCTCGTCTGAACAGTTTTATCATTTTATAGGTTATGATGGATGCTTGTGTTTTCTGTCGGGTGTCTCTAAACAATGGTGAAGAAATAACACAACTAAGAGAAAAAGGATGTAACACAGTTAATAGGACCAACCAAACCAGAAATGATACGATCGTCACAACTCCAGGACAAAAAGTTCATCAGAAATGTCGACGTGATTACATAAACGCTAATTCAATCAAGAAGGACTTGCGAGACAAGGATTTATCGACAACCAAGCTAAGTCGTGACTTACGCTCTTCCACTCCTGTTTTCGAGTTTCAGAAGAACTGTTTATTTTGTGGAAATTATGCAAATTTTTGGAGAGCAAAAGGGGAATCGACGTGTTTCCTGTCAGGACAACAGATTTTTCTAAGACCCTTAGAAAAATCTGCAAAGAAAGAAATGATGAATGGTCCGAAATCGTTTTGAGGAGGCTAAACATTGCGCCATCCGATTTGCACGCGGCAGATGCAATATACCACCAAACATGTAGTGTTAATTTTAGAACTGGTAAGCAAATCCCAGTTTCGAAGCAAGCAAACAAAGAGGTCAAACGAACGACACCAGGACAACCAAAAGAAGATTTATCAGAGAAAGCTTTCCTGCAAATAGTTAGACAATTAGAAGAAACACAAGACGAACCTGCAACCGTAAGCGATCTTGTTCAGGCTATGGAAGAAATTTGCGGAGAGAAGGCGTATAGTGTGGTGCACATGAAAAAGAGACTGCAAACTCATTTTGGATCCGAGATCATCATCACGGAAGTAAACGGAAAGTCGAATATAGTCACATTCAGGAGAACAGCATCATCTATACTGAACGAATTTTACAGAAGACCACCATCTAAGAGTCCAGAAGATGAAAAGCTGTCGATGATAGAAACAGCAGCTAAGCTAATAAAAGCAGATATTATGAGTCTTAAAGATTCAAAATCTATATATCCGTCTTCTGTTGATATAAACTCAGAGCAAAACACTGCCTTTGTCCCAGATTCGTTACGAACATTTCTAAGTGCATTATTAAGTCAAAACGACTCTACTGTTAAAGTTGCATTTGTTGGTCAAGCTATAATTCAGGCAACCCGACCAAGAACACTTAATGCACCGCAACAAATTGCCCTCAGTGTACAAATGCATCATCACTTTGGATCAAGATTTTTGTTGGACACTTTGAACACTCTTGGTTTTGCTTCTTCTTACACAGAGGTTCAAAGATTTGAACTTAATGCTGCTGCTGCTGCGCATGACAGACAGTTTGGGAATGACACTTTCGTTCAGTATATAGCTGATAACGTAGACCATAATCTGCGAGCTTTAGATGGTCATGGAACATTTCATAGTATGGGCATGATTGCAGCTGTAACACCAGGATTTAGACTTGACAAAGCTGTCCCTAGGCTGTCTCCCACACTAAAGGAAGTCTCGGACTTAGCGAAGATTAACATAGATTATTATAAGATGCAATCTAAACAATCGTTACAGGCAGAGTTCGCAACGATGAATTATGAGCCAAATATGGTCGATACAACGTGGAAGTTAGACCTTCTGTCAAAAGTATGCTGGCCTTTGACATGCAACTGACCTAGTTGGTCAGCCTTTATGCACAAAGTGATGGACGGTGATTACCCAGGAAAATCATCTGTTGTTTTTTTGCCAATGATAGACATGAATCCTAGTGATCTCACATGTATAAATTCAACACTTAACTTCATAAGCAAGCAAGCAAAGGCTCAATATTGTTCACCTATTTTGACATTTGATCAACCCCTCTATTGGAAGGCAATGTACATAATTAAAGATGAACCATTGGATAGTCTTTAAATGGCGTTGTCAGTTTATTTTCGATCTATGAGTTTGACTGTCTCTCTGGTATCTTTCGCCCCTCTTTTAAAGTCAGTTATCTTGAGACTTGGAGGCTTTCATTTATAAATGAGTTTTGTAGGCGGCATTGGTCACTTGATGGAAGGATCTGGAATTACTGAGCTACTTGAAACAGTGTATGCACCAAATGCAGTAACTCATATGACTAGTGGAAAGGCTATTGCATGAGCAGTAAGGGCACATATCCTGATAGACACAGCTCTCACGTCAATAATTTTGTCACACATATACGGCATACCACTTCCAGATCAAATCGAAAATGAGACTAGAACCAATGATATTAATCCGGCAAATTACATAAATACCGACATTACTGATATTAACGCTTAGGACCTTTCGGATGAGTTGCATGAAGCAGATTTGATGTTGGATGAACTACTGAAAGGGGACATATCCGTCGAAAAAGCTTGCGAAAATGTTTTATTAGATCAAATAAAATCTAGGATAGATAACTTTCGGGTGTCACACCAAAGTTTTCGTACATCACAACTATGGTTCCAGTATATGGATATGATAGATATACTCCGTAGATTCATCAAAGCTGAAAAGACTGGTAACTGGGATCTACATTTACAAACAGTCAAAGACATGCTTCCGTATCTTGCAGCTTCGGGACACAATCTGTATGTCAAATCATCACGAGTATACTTAAAACAAATGTAGAACTTGAAAACAACACATCCTGACGTATTAGCTTTTCTACAATCAGGTTATCAGAAGGAGTGATAAATTCTGGGCAGGTCTTTTCTGATTTGGTCATAGAACAGGTTTTAATGAGAAGCCGAAAGACGACAGGCGGTATGACTCGGGGCAGAGGTATGTCAGAGGGTCAGCGAGCCCAATGGATTTTATCTATGCCAGACTGCGCGGAAATGAACAATGCTTTGCAAGAGTTTACTGGAGTCAATTATGGAACAAGTGACCAACATAAAGAAGGTGGGGATTCA